GTCGCCATCATGCGAGCGAACTAGGTCTTTAAGAAGCAGAAGATGCAATGATTCTGTTGAAATCTGTTGTCATATCTTAACCAAGGAGGATGGGGGAGGGGCGGGTGAACCTATATGCAGGCTTTGGTACTAGTCACTACTCACTGGTCAAGGTATCTGGTCTGGTGTAGTGTAATTTGCCATGTGGAGAAGTTTTCTTTCTTTTTTAAGCAAAGGAAGTGGCAAGGAACCTGTCGTTGCCGTTGCAAAGGGTATCATTCGGTCGTTCTGTATTATTGATTTAGTGCAGTTGACTCAGACTGTGTAACGCGTGAGGCGTGGTCATCACTGTGACACTGTCAGACATAAAATCTTAGGTATTCATGATACCCTGATGGGCAGTTTGTTGACGTAACTGATCGCTATGAAACCAGAATCCGTATAACTCATGTGTTCTGGCCTCTGGGACGTTTTGCGCCTACAATATGGCAGCACCGCTTCCAAGATTACCTACTGTATATTTGAGATAATATGCGGCAATATAAGTATGTAGTTTTCGTTCGCATCTGACCTGGTAATATTCGTACAGTGTACACAGCATAGCTTTGAGCTTTCCATTTTCAACAGATATGACAATGGCCGGATGATACTGGAAATGGTGCCTTTGCTCTGAGCACACGGAACGGGACGCAGTATTGAGTATGCAATTGCAGTCGCACTATGCAGCATGACATACGCCGGAAATCTCCCGGCCCGAACGCCGGAACGGGCAGCGATAGTCTGTACTCATTACGCATAGTGAAAATGGAAACGGTGTCAGCGCAACTCTCTGAAAGGAACGGTGCACTACATGAGACTAGAAAAAGGGTCACTGATTAGGGCACCCCAAACGGAACGATGTGCACTGCGCAGCATAATACGCAACATCGCAATAAAAAGCGTGCAACTAACCAGGGCATCCGTATCGGAACGGAACGGGATGCAAAAAAAAAAAAACATGATAAAAGGATGTCACCGACCTCATGGCCGGCCACCGAAACGGAGCGGTAGCTACGTATCATGTCACGTGGTAAGTGCTGAGTGAGAGAGCGTCACTGATCAGTGATCAGTGATCAGAGCACCCGCAACAGAACGGAGGGCATCAGTGATCACTGATCAGAGCAACTGCAACGGAACGGAGGGCATCGCTGATCAGGACACCCCAAACGGAAGGGAAAGCGAGAGCGCAACTGACCAGAACACCCGAAACGGAACGGGAGTGAACGGAACGGAACGCATTAGCCGCGTCTAACGCGCGGCTAATGCGAGCAGACATACGCCGAATCGCGATTCCGGCCAAACATGGTCTCAAGAAATAGGTCACAGGTCAAAGGTCATTTGGGTCAGGAATATGAGATTTTCAGAGTAGGTTTCAAATTAATTGACTCGAGGGTCCTGAAAGTTTCGTCACGATCGGCCGCTTTTTACGCGAGTTAATCTAAAAAAAAAAACGAGGGGGTGGTTCGTTCGACCCCCCCCCCTATACGAGCGAGGGATGATTTATTAAAAAGCTAGGGCCTTCTTAATCCCATCTACCAGCTTCAGAACATGTATTGGGCAGATCTGGAAATACCGTATCATAAATTTATCCCTAGAGGTGTGCCAAGGTATCCTTCACTCATCTTGGCTTTCCCTCGGCCGAACGCTTCATGTTTAAAAACCTCTAGAAACTAATTGAAATGAATAATTGGCGGTAAGATCATTGCAAAGGCATGAGAAATTAACGTAAAATACATCATTACCGGTCATATAACCTCATTTCGCGTATGAAACCTGCCAGAGTCCACAGAGTTTCATATTCATCCCTAGGGTGTGCCAGGGTGGCGTGTCAGTCATCTTGAACCCCTGCCCGACCCGACGCCTCGAGTTTTAAAGACACCTAAAAACTAATAACGTAAATAATTTGTGGTGAAATTGATATAATATGATCAGAAAAGAATGCAGAATAAATAAGTATCAGTCTCAAAACATTATTTTGCCCATGAAACCAGCCAGAGCCCGCGGAGTTTTAGATTCATCCCTAGGGTGTGCCCAGGGTGGCTTTTCTCATCTTGGACCTCTACCAGGCGCGACGCCTCGAGCTTTAAAGTCCTCTAGAAGCCATTGACGGACATAATTTGTGGCGAAATTGATGCGATAGAATCAGAAATAAACGCAGAATAAGTTGGTATCGGTCTCAAAACATTATTTTACCTACGAAACCAGCCAGAGCCCGCGGAGTTTTAAATTCATCCCTAGGGTGTGCGCAGGGTGGCTTTTCTCATCTTGGACCTCTGCCAGGCCCGACGCCTCGAGCTTCTAAGTCCTCTAGAGGTCATTGACGGACATAATTTGTGGTGAAATTGGTGCAGTAGAATCAGAAATGAATGTAGAATAAGTTGGTATCTGTCTCATACCCCTATTTTGTAAATAAAAAAAGTTAGAGCCCACCAAGTTTTAAATTCATCCCTAGGGTGTGCACAGGGTGTGCCCAGCTGACTGCGGGTCCAAAGATGAAAATTTTGTAGGCGTATCCTGCGTAACTTAGTCAAAAGCGAATTACAGAGGTAGTGTTTAATTTGCGCAAGCAGCGGCTCATCCGTTTTGCGTTGGCAGCAAACCACTAATCATAGTTGTTATGATTATCCAAAAGCATTTATTCAGAACACAAGCCTGGTTTTTACAAACACTTGAGGTGATCAAGGTCATTCAACGCATATTTGTTATTAACAGCTGGAAGTGTGCAAGGTTATTTTCTTTCGTTGTCAGTCAGGGTGAGTTGTCGGGTTTGTGCCTTGATTTAGCATCTTTTTTTCATGGAAATTATGTATTATGTAGCAAACCTGTAAGTTCTGTCTACATGGTGCTGCTAGGTATATCTGGTAATCTGGCTGTTAATTGTTGAGCAAGCGTTGAGCATTTTTCAAAGATGAAATAATTCAAATTTACCTGGTTTTGGGGATGAAAATATTTTGCCCATTAGGTGTGATTTTCCACCCAAAATTCCCAAAAATGGAACACTGTATACGGGCGAGGGTTAATGCTTCAGAAAATGCGTTCAAATACTTTACTTTTCAAATACAAATGCTTTAAAAGCGCTGTGCTTGACTTCCCACAGCGCTATGTACGCGACTCCATCGCGGAAGCATTCCCAGAGAGTGAGGTTCAGCCATCTCGTCGATTGGACACAGATTTAGTGCCATGTTCACTCGAGCGGCGAAACAACGCCTCAGACTTATCACCTCTGAATGACGGTGCGTACTCGAGCCCCGCACGGCAAGAGTCGCTTACTTCACGGCCGATTAGGCACCGCAATTATTTTCACATTAGGCAGATTGGAAAGTGTTGGAACCTACACTCGCTACGATCAGAGGCCACAGCGGGGTAGTTCAGAGGCCAGAAAGGAAGGTGTGATACTCAGTAAACTGTAGGATGATGCCAGAATCGAATTCGTGCAAACATGCAACAAGCTAATCGGCAGTGTTTGACCCGTACATTTCATCCGTTTGGTATCGTCAACCGTTTGGTGCACTGTTTACCCGTATTATCCGCTGAGACCGTTTAGCCTGCCCACCAGCTGGACACCGGCCCCCGACTTCGTGACCTGCTGACCCGGCGACTGGGTGGGGGAGGGGGGGGGGGCGGTGACCAGTTTTTAACACCTGTCCTGTCCACGCTACCACCAACTGTACCGAGTTAGGCCAACATGACTGGTCGCGTACCAGTTTTATGCACCACCAGTCAGCCGCAAAACAGCGGTCTAGCCCCCGTATCGGAACAGCCCGCATACTTTGTCTATTGATCGGTATCAAGCGCTGCTGGTTTTTGCTTAGGCTTTGTGAAGGTCGCTTTAGTGTAATGAGGGCAGGCGTGAGTAGGAAAATTTCAACAATAAAGAAACACAGGAAGGTGTCACTTTAAGCTCCTACGGTCAGTATTTAAGATCTCATCGATCAATGAAACATGATAATAGCATTACGCTACTTTGCACTGCCCCCGCAGCAGCCCCGGGTAAGCAGCCCGGCAGTTTAGCAGGTTGAGAAATATTGCGATAGCGTAGCCAGAAATAGTCGTTATTCTTGAGAATCTAGGCAAAAAGTAAGTCTACAATATGTAACGGTGAAGTGTAAAAAATATACAACTATAATATACAGACTATATATAAGAACTAATCGGTTTAAAACGGGATCAAACAAACGTTGAAAGAGTGAGATCCGGTGTCACTCTTCCGGTGCCGTGTAAGTCCGTCTAGGCCCGAGTCTCGATAAGTGCCTGAGTTGGTGACTAAAGCAATCACCATTCCTTCGACCGACCCGGGACATAATAAATGCCTGAGTCTTGTTTTCAAATTTTGTAAGTGACGCCATGAATCAGTTACTAAACCTTTTTGCGTTAGCTTTTGACCATTGGGCAAAACATTAATTGTACACATTCGCCATATTAAGGTGGCGCTACAAATGGGCGGTTGGTTACAAAGAATCACCATTGTGCAAAACTATTCGGCGATCTTCCTCTACAACTCGACATTGAACGAATGGTTCAACATTGTGCAAAACAAATCGTCAATGGTCGAAACTATTCGTCATATGCCGAGCTGGCTCCTTCTATGCCGAAGTCTGGCGAACTGTTAAACTGTTTTGCAGATCGCTTATTTCAGTGTTCAATCTGTTTTGCTGAATGGCTGAAATGAAACACACCACGCCGGAATAGTTGTGCTCAATGCCGATTGTCGAAATGGCTCCTAAAACAGTTATGGCGAATGGTTGAATTCAAATGCAAAAAGGTGTACTACCTTTCTGTCCCACCGGTGACTACGACGGTGACTGAGGGAAGGGTGGTAAATAGGCCAGTGACTGAAACACTTACCACAGATACCTGAGCAAGTAAGAGCATCACAAACGGGTCTCATATTGAAGTTAAGTCGTAAGTCCATTTGTAGCGCACATTCACGTTGCTCATATATCTCGGGTGAATGAGTAAGTTGACAGTTCCCCGTGACTGACCCTGGGACGGGCTGGACGGTCTCCCAGTGGCCTCTCAGCTGCTGCAGAAAGCGCTCCCACACCCGGCAGAGCAGCGACGAGGAGCGCGAGCGGGCCAGGAGGCAGACGACGCGCGCCAGCCGCCACAGCAGGTCGCCCGGACGGCTGGACTTGACCTCGGTCAGTTGGGTCTGCGGGAGGGAGGGGGAGGGGGGTCAGATGTGACTTGGTGCGGGGGCAGCGCTGAGAGTGACATGATGGTGGAATGTGGAGACTGGTGGAGATACATGGAGCTACTGGAGCTACAGGCCATTGGAGATAGAATTGTAATTAGTACCTCACATAGGTATGCTGCTTCCTTCGATCGGATTTTTTTCCCAGATCAGAGTATGAAGGAAAAAGACTTAGGACTCAAAAGGCCAACACCAGCCGGTGTAACAAGTTGCACTGCGTGTGAGCTACTGCTCGGAATCTGTGAAGAGAAAGGTCACCAAAACACATCTTAAGGATGCCTATTGGGACTGATCGGCGCGGCGCAAGGATGATTTGAGTTTTAAAAAAAGTAGTTATCTTACAAATCGCTACAGGATTGCACGCTGTGCTGTCACCAATGTAACTTACTGGATCGTACAAAAGTTGACAATCAGCGAGCGATTGAAACTTCATGCATACAAATGAAATATGAGTCGTATATCGACTAACGTAAGCAGCATGTAACAAAATTAACTCTCTCTGCCAGGGCTGCGGAGTCTATGGATTTTCGGCGACTCCGACTCCGACTCCGACTCCGGCTTTCAAAAACCAGCTCCGACTCCGACTCCGACTCCGGGCAGAATTGTCGACTCCGACCGACTCCAACTCCCGACTCCGACTCCGCAGACCTAGCAGGGCTGCGGAGTCGACAGATTTTCGGTGACTCCGACTCCGACTCCGGCTCGGGTTTCTAAAATCGACTCCGACTCCGACTCCGACTTCGGTCACAACTGTCGACTCCGACCGACTCCGACTCCGACTCCGACTCCGACTCCGACTCCGACTCCGACTCCGACTCCGACTCCGACTCCGCAGCCCTGCAGTCTCTGCACATAATCGCTCGTAGTGCAACAGCAAAAGAGATGTTCAAACTGACCATCCATGTCCTGACATGTGCTAGAATACTGATTTGCAAATCAGAAGCATTTCCAGTCACTAGACAAATGAATATGTGACTTTCTTAACATTTCGAAATGTCTTCGATAGTATTGCATGGTATTGCTAAATAAGTCTGATCGGGTTTCAGCTGTTGGAGAGTTGTTCCTGCCTTGCAAGACATGCAACATGTGTGCAATATGCCCATTATCATTGTATAAATAGTCACTGTTCAACAGCGACAAACATGCACTGCATGAGTTGCACACTCGCAAAACAAGGACAGCCACGAGTGCGGAATGGTGCGGGTCATTCACGGTTGCATTATTGTCCAATGGGGCGGAACAAGCCACGACAGTGACAGCACAGAGCTCGGAAATGGACAAGGTCATTCACTGCTCGGCAGAACGGTCAGCAGGGAATGTCGCGACAAAAAGAAATGGACACTCCGACAATTGTAATACAGATTTAACAAAAGCAGCCAGATTCATAAATACGCAACACATTCCCTGATACACATAACGCAGACCTCTGGGAGAATTTCTACTGCTTACCTTGACTGAGCGGGGTAGGCTGGCTGGCACAGCCGGCGGTGGTGGCGCCACCTCCTGCTGGAAAACAGAAACAGTGGTTCAACAATCATCCAACGGTGGACTTGCAGCTGGCCACCGTCCGATAAATCTATTCGCAATGTAACCCGCCATCAAACTATCTAAAATCATTAGCTGAGTGAGAAATAGATCGTCGATAAAGGCTATGGAATGCCAGATACAGAATTTTGAAAACATACAGGGCGTTTCGGCTAATGAAGAACACGACACCCCGACTGCCAAGGTCATTCTCTCGACTCTCGACAATCGACATCGTCATTCTAGCCGCGCTCCTAGTTGAATCACCCACCTCCTGGTTGAAGAGCTGCTCGCACAGCCGGTTCACATACTCGGTGGTATCGTCCAGGTGTCTGTGGCCCGCCTGGTGGTGGGTGGAGCGGCCGGGCACAGCCCCGGCGCGGCCGCCCGGCCCGGTCAGACGGGACAGGGCCGCTGTGACGTCCGGCGCCTGACCTGGTGACGCGCAGAGGGGGCTGTCAACTCGGCCTGTGCGTCAGGTATGGGTGTCAGTCAGTGCTGTATGTGAATTGGAGAAAAATACTGGTGGTAGCCACTGGAATCACGACTCGACAACAAATGGAGGCCAAAACTTACGGAAAAGATCAAGCAGATGTCGATGTAAATACCGTTCCAGTGTGCATCTTCAACATCATTAAGCATTTTCAAATATCTTTGTGACATAAATTATCCCATCAATAAAAAAGAAGCTCCCACAAAAGCTGCACAGTGCACATATTAGGCTGCACAGGTGCACGTCATAAACATGCACACCCACGACCCGTTCAGACTCTCCCGCGGTCCACTAACCCTGCGGTGGTGTGTCGATTATGGCGCGGCCCACGAGATCTTCAAACGTGTCTCTCCGGTGGCAGAACATCCACACGTCCTTCAGGCACAGTCCGAGCAGTCCCACCGCACGAGCTACGGGAAGAGAGCAGAGGTCGGGGCGGAGTTAGAAGACAGTGGTCAGTGGTCGAACTAGGGAACGGCCAGTTTATATCGCTCACTGTAATGGCTGGTTTACTGACTCATCGCATTTTTAATCTTCATCACACCTTACTAGAACATCACTCGCTTCTCCATTGATACTACGCTTACTGGGAACTGCCCCGACACATATCTGACCTGCGGGCCGTGCGCGGACCCTCCAGAGGGGCGCGTGGCGCGGGTTCAGCTGGCTGTAGGAGTCCTCCACCAGCAGTGTCTCGGCCACCTGGTGCCAGCAGGCCATCAGGTCCAGGCCACTGCCGATGAAAAAAGACACGTCAGAGGAGATGATTGCGGCAAGGTTACGTTCGCAGATAGCTCTAGGTTACGTTTGAGAGAAACGGTAGACTCAGAACGGAGCAGCGCGATGCATACTGCGGTCACGTGCAATGCGTGCCGCATACAACAAACCATGGCGGCAGCCACGCTCAAAGACAATTGAAAGAAGGCGAGGAACAAGCGTTTGTGCATTTATGTTAGCCCGCATGTACATACATAATATGTGAATAGGCATAATAATTAAAAGTAAAAGTAAAATCGCAGAAAATTATCATGGGCAGCCAGCTGCATCTGCGGTCTCCTGAGAGGCTGCAAGCCCAGTTAGCCACGTCATTAAGCTAACCCTAAAGCTCTTCATCACCCTACCCAACCCCACCCACTCACGCCAGCGGCTCGAGTCCCTCGGCAGCGTCCAGCGGCAGCGCAGTCTCTCCGTCCAGGTCAGGCAGCACGGCCTCCAGCTCGGCCGGGTCCGCCGCCTCCCCGCAGTAGGTCAGCCCTCCAAAGTCGTCCACCGTGTACTGCAGACGGAGGGAGACCGACACAGCCGGCACCGCGCGGGCAGATAACTTCTGCTTGAACAGGTCCAGCAGGCCTGCAAGGGGATGGAAAGGGAGGGCTGGTCAGGGGAAAACAGAGCGAGGTTTGAGAGAAAGCAGTACGCAAATGTCGCAAATGTTCAGCTTCCTCGGTAGTTCGTGACAGCTTGGTCCATACTAAAATCCCTCGTTCGACTTACCGGACAGGTAATAGAGGTGCGGAGGGGCGCGCTTCAGCAGGATCGTGTAGAACTCCACCAGCACACCTTCTCCCACGCAGGTGCCCATGAAGTACTGCATCGCCAGCCGGTGCACCTGAACGAACATCGGAATGTCCCTGCCGAGCAGAGATCGGTCTCCGGTCAAAAGACGACAAAGTCTTCAAGTCATCAATGTTGCCATTCACTACTTTCCACCGGGCAATTTGTGCCCGCTTATATTTCGCACGAGGATTCTTGCTCGTACTCGTCTCCTAAGCAGCGACAGTTGCGAGAGCATCTTGCTTCCCTCCCTCCCTCCCTAGTGGAGCAGCTGGGGACGAAAGTCGATAGACCGGGCATAATAACGATTGTGAACAATATGCTTTATGATGAAAGAAATTAGCAATTTCACAAAGTATACTACTACACAATTAGTGTGAAAAAAACAATTACGCCTTATCACATACCTTGAGAGTTGAGACAAGGTCCCACACATATGAATCCCTCTGGCTACCCCTCCCTTTACCCTGCCCTCCCCACTCTCCTCGTCCCAACACCCACCAGGCAGCCTCTCGCAGTGCCATGTGCAGGGAGCTCAGCAGGATGCGCGCCTTGCTCTCGCTGTTGACGCCCGGCTCGGCGCTGGGACGCACCGTGATGAACCTCCGGACGCCAAACGCCTCCGCCACCGGGTGCGCCGCCGCGCCGGGCCGGAAGTCGGCGGTGGCTGAGCGCAGTTCGTCCAGCGCCGGCGGCAGACGCTCCGGCTCGTCATCACTGTCCTCTCCGGACCGTGGGGACGCCGGCGGAGCGCCAGAGGGGACGGAGGGGTCGGCAGAGGGGTCCGAGGGATCGGCAGAGGGGGCCGAGGGCACGCTGGAGCGACGCTCCGCTCGGCCGGGAAGGTCGACGAATGTTACGGTGAAGCGGCAACCTGTAAAGCCAGGGGGCGTGGCACGTCAGTGGAGGAAAAATCCTTATTTAAACATTGAAATGTTGGGCTATTATGCCTCTTGAACTCCAAAACTATCATGATTTCTATGAAATAGCCAGGACATCCTCTTCAGAAACATAAATCCTCCAACTTCACATTGTGACAGAATAGTTATGCATCAATCCAAATACAAAAGATGCAGCGCTCAGAAAGTGGATCTTTCTCACCAGTCACCAGTGTCACTTTCACTGTCACCACACAGCAGCATCGTCTCCTGCTCCTAACAGATCCTTACCAGCAAAATCGACCTCAGATTGTTGCAGGATGGGCCGGGAAGGTGTTGCTGCTGGTGCCTCCTTTCCTTCAGGAGCTGTGAGAGGCTCCTTGTCAGCCTTCCACTCATGCAGGAGTTCTGTGACAGAGCCAATGAACCGCTCCCAGTCCGAAGCGGAGGTGAAATCAGTGATTTCAAACACCTCTCCCTCACCATCCTGTGGATGTGATGTGGGTCATGGCATAGAATAAATGCAGGGATGGTAGCAGAAGAGAGATTATTACATGTTCATGTTATGCCAATCATAGACCAAATACCTAAGCAAAAAGTATCCAGCATCTTCCATTTCATACCTACCTACTACTTTCAACTGCTTCACTCACCTCAGCATCACACATTGTAGAAGGCCTTGGAGGTTTTCAGTATTTTATTGTCCTAGATCTCAGGAAATAAGTGGTGCGCAAGCAGGCTTGCTGAAGCTCGTTGTGTCTTGTACTTCTATGATCTATGTCTTTGTTATGATCGGTACCCATCCCAAAAACAACGTCTGTCAAACTAGCAGCGAGCAGCGAGCAGCGAGTCCAGCAGCGAGAAACGGGCCATCCCGATTTAGCTGAAATTTGGCTCACAGAGCCTTCTCAGCACGCTGATTCCGAAAATCATGGTCTTTAGGGTGGAAATATTTACCGTTTTCGAGATAGAACCCTCTAAAGTTCTAACCATCCATGACCGGGCCATCCCGATTTGGCTGAAAATTGGCTCACAGAGCCTTCTCAGCACGCTGATTCCGAAAATCATGGTCTCTAGGGTGGAAATATTGACCGTTCTCGAGATAGAACCCTCTAAAGTTCTAACCATCCATGACCGGGCCATCCCGATTTGGCTGAAAATTGGCTCACAGAGCCTTCTCAGCACGCTGATTCCGAAAATCATGGTCTCTAGGGTGGAAATATTGACCGTTCTCGAGATAGAACCCTCTAAAGTTCTTACCACCCATGACCGGGCCATCCCGATTTGGCTGAAATTTGGCTCACAGAGCCTTCTCAGCACGCTGATTCCGAAAATCATGGTCTCTAGGGTGGAAATATTTACCGTTTTCGAGATAGAACCCTCTAAAGTTCTAACCATCCATGACCGGGCCATCCCGATTTCGCTGAAAATTGGCTCACAGAGCCTTCTCAGCACGCTGATTCCGAAAATCATGGTCTCTAGGGTGGAAATATTGACCGTTCTCGAGATAGAACCCTCTAAAGTTCTAACCATCCATGACCGGGCCATCCCGATTTGGCTGAAAATTGGCTCACAGAGCCTTCTCAGCACGCTGATTCCGAAAATCATGGTCTCTAGGGTGGAAATATTGACCGTTCTCGAGATAGAACCCTCTAAAGTTCTTACCACCCATGACCGGGCCATCCCGATTTGGCTGAAAATTGGCTCACAGAGCCTTCTCAGCACGCTGATTCCGAAAATCATGGTCTCTGGGGTGGAAATATTGACCGTTCACGAGATAGAACCCTCTAAAGTTCTTACCATCCATGACCGAGCCATCCCGATTTGGCTAAAAAATTGGCTCATAGAGCCTTCTTAGCACGCTGATTCCGAAAATCATGGTCTCTAGGGTGGAAATATTGACCGTTCTCGAGATAGAACCCTCGCAGCGAGTCCAGCAGCGAGAAACGGGCCATCCCGATTTAGCTGAAATTTGGCTCACAGAGCCTTCTCAGCACGCTGATTCCGAAAATCATGGTCTCTAGGGTGGAAATCTTGACCGTTCTCGAGATAGAACCCTCGCAGCGAGTCCAGCAGCGAGAAACGGACCATCCTGATTTAGCTGAAATTTGGCTCACAGAGCCTTCTCAGCACGCTGAATCCGAAAATCATGGTCTCTAGGGTGGAAATCTTGACCGTTCTCGAGATAGAACCCTCTAAAGTTCTTACCACCCATGACCGGGCCATCCCGATTTGGCTGAAAATTGGCTCACAGAGCCTTCTCAGCACGGTGATTCAGAAAATCATGGTCTCAAGGGTGGAAATCTTGACCGTTCTCGAGATAGAACCCTCTAAAGTTCTTACCACCCATGACCGGGCCATCCCGATTTGGCTGAAAATTGGCTCACAGAGCCTTCTCAGCACGCTGATTCCGAAAATCATGGTCTCTAGGGCGGAAATATTGACCGTTCTCGAGATAGAACCCTCTAAAGTTCTAACCATCCATGACCGGGCCATCCCGATTTGGCTGAAAATTGGCTCACAGAGCCTTCTCAGCACGCTGATTCCGAAAATCATGGTCTCTAGGGTGGAAATATTGACCGTTCTCGAGATAGAACCCTCTAAGGTTCTTACCACCCATGACCGGGCCATCCTGATTTGGCTGAAAATTGGCTCACAGAGCCTTCTCAGCACGCTGATTCCGAAAATCATGTTCTCTGGGGTGGAAATATTGACCGTTCTCGAGATAGAACCCTCTAAAGTTCTTACCATCCATGACCGGGCCATCCCGATTTGGCTAAAAATTGGCTCACAGAGCCTTCTTAGCACGCTGATTCCGAAAATCATGGTCTCTAGGGTGGAAATATTGACCGTTCTCGAGATAGAACCCTCGCAGCGAGTCCAGCAGCGAGAAACGGGCCATCCCGATTTAGCTGAAATTTGGCTCACAGAGCCTTCTCAGCACGCTGATTCCGAAAATCATGGTCTCTAGGGTGGAAATATTGACCGTTCTCGAGATAGAACCCTCTAAATTTCTAACCATCCATGACCGGGCCATCCCGATTTGGCTGAAAATTGGCTCACAGAGCCTTCTCAGCACGCTGATTCCGAAAATCATGGTCTCTAGGGTGGAAATATTGACCGTTCTCGAGATAGAACCATCTAAAGTTCTTACCACCCATGACCGGGCCATCCCGATTTGGCTGAAAATTGGCTCACAGAGCCTTCTCAGCACGCTGATTCCGAAAATCATGGTCTCTGGGGTGGAAATATTGACCGTTCTCGAGATAGAACCCTCTAAAGTTCTTACCATCCATGACCGGGCCATCCCGATTTGGCTAAAAATTGGCTCACAGAGCCTTCTTAGCACGCTAATTCCGAAAATCATGGTCTCTAGGGTGGAAACATTGACCGTTCTCGAGATAGAACCCTCGCAGCGAGTCCAGCAGCGAGAAACGGGCCATCCCGATTTAGCTGAAATTTGGCTCACAGAGCCTTCTCAGCATGCTGATTCCGAAAATCATGGTCTCTAGGGTGGAAATCTTGACCGTTCTCGAGATAGAACCCTCGCAGCGAGTCCAGCAGCGAGAAACGGACCATCCTGATTTAGCTGAAATTTGGCTCACAGAGCCTTCTCAGCACGCTGAATCCGAAAATCATGGTCTCTAGGGTGGAAATCTTGACCGTTCTCGAGATAGAACCCTCTAAAGTTCTTACCACCCATGACCGGGCCATCCCGATTTGGCTGAAAATTGGCTCACAGAGCCTTCTCAAGCACGGTGATTCAGAAAATCATGGTCTCAAGGGTGGAAATCTTGACCGTTCTCAAAATAGAACCCTCTAAAGTTCTTACCACCCATGACCGGGCCATCCCGATTTGGCTGAAAATTGGCTCACAGAGCCTTCTCAGCACGCTGCTTCCGAAAATCATGGTCTCTAGGGTGGAAATATTGACCGTTCTCGAGATAGAACCCTCTAAAGTTCTAACCATCCATGACCGGGCCATCCCGATTTGGCTGAAAATTGGCTCACAGAGCCTTCTCAGCACGCTGATTCCGAAAATCATGGTCTCAAGGGTGGAAATATTGACCGTTCTCGAGATAGAACCCTCTAAAGTTCTTACCACCCATGACCGGGCCATCCCGATTTGGCTGAAAATTGGCTCACAGAGCCTTCTCAGCACGCTGATTCCGAAAATCATGGTCTCTGGGGTGGAAATATTGACGGTTCTCGAGATAGAACCCTCTAAAGTTCTTACCATCCATGACCGGGCCATCCCGATTTGGCTAAAAATTGGCTCACAGAGCCTTCTCAGCACGCTGATTCCGAAAATCATGGTCTCTAGGGTGGAAATATTGACCGTTCTCGAGATAGAACCCTCGCAGCGAGTCCAGCAGCGAGAAACGGGCCATCCCGATTTAGCTGAAATTTGGCTCACAGAGCCTTCTCAGCACGCTGATTCCGAAAATCATGGTCTCTAGGGTGGAAATCTTGACCGTTCTCGAGATAGAACCCTCGCAGTGAGTCCAGCAGCGAGAAACGGGCCATCCTGATTTAGCTGAAATTTGGCTCACAGAGCCTTCTCAGCACGCTGATTTCGAAAATCATGGTCTCTAGGGTGGAAATCTTGACCGTTCTCGAGATAGAACCCTCTAAAGTTCTTACCACCCATGATCGGGCCATCCCGATTTGGCTGAAAATTGGCTCACAGAGCCTTCTCAGCACGCTGATTCCGAAAATCATGGTCTCTAGGGTGGAAATATTGACCGTTCTCGAGATAGAACCCTCTAAAGTTCTTACCACCCATGACCGGGCCATCCCGATTTGGCTGAAAATTGGCTCACAGAGCCTTCTCAGCACGCTGATTCCGAAAATCATGGTCTGAAGGGTGGAAATATTGACCGTTCTCGAGATAGAACCCTCTAAAGTTCTTACCATCCATGACCGGGCCATCCCGATTTGGCTAAAAATTGGCTCACAGAGCCTTCTTAGCACGCTGATTCCGAAAATCATGGTCTCTAGGGTGGAAATATTGACCGTTCTCGAGATAGAACCCTCGCAGCGAGTCCAGCAGCGAGAAACGGGCCATCCCGATTTAGCTGAAATTTGGCTCACAGAGCCTTCTCAGCACGCTGATTCCGAAAATTATGGTCTCTAGGGTGGAAATCTTGACCGTTCTCGAGATAGAACCCTCGCAGCGAGTCCAGCAGCGAGAAACGGACCATCCTGATTTAGCTGAAATTTGGCTCACAGAGCCTTCTCAGCACGCTGAATCCGAAAATCATGGTCTCTAGGTTGGAAATCTTGACCGTTCTCGAGATAGAACCCTCTAAAGTTCTTACCACCCATGACCGGGCCATCCCGATTTGGCTGAAAATTGGCTCACAGAGCCTTCTCAGCACGGTGATTCAGAAAATCATGGTCTCAAGGGTGGAAATCTTGACCGTTCTCGAGATAGAACCCTCTAAAGTTCTTACCACCCATGACCGGGCCATCCCGATTTGGCTGAAAATTGGCTCACAGAGCCTTCTCAGCACGCTGATTCCGAAAATTATGGTCTCTAGGGTGGAAATATTGACCGTTCTCGAGATAGAACCCTCTAAAGTTCTTACCATCCATGACCGGGCTATCCCGATTTGGCTGAAAATTTGCTCACAGAGCCTTCTCAGCACGCTGATTCCGAAAATCATGGTCTCTAGGGTGGAAATATTTACCGTTCTCGAGATAGAACCCTCTAAAGTTCTTACCACCCATGACCGGGCCATCCCGATTTCGCTGAAAATTGGCTCACAGAGCCTTCTCAGCACGGTGATTCAGAAAATCATGGTC